CCTTTTTATGCTGTTAATCTTTGTCGATTTGTGTCATTTTTTTTTCCTAGTGTTTGTTGCCCTTCAGGACCTCTTGGTGCCTGGGACTAACAGGGATCATTTGATTCTTAAATTGCCTCTAAATTCTTTTGGCTAAGTGGTCTTTTAATATTTTTTAAACACCTAATTGACTTTAAGAGTCTAGGAACACTTACTCTCCTGGCTAGAATACCTGTTAGTTTCTTTCTGAACAAAGGATCAATAATACTTCATTGTATCTCATATTACTTCTCCTGAGCCAAGACAAAGACTATCCTCCTGATTCCCAAACTGTTCCTCATGTGGTTCCCTGAAGCACTACAGCAAATTCACAGGGATGATCCAGGATTTATTAAAATTTCATGGGCAGCAATGATATCTGTCTGTCACACTTGACATAGTGCACAGTTTTGGCGTTAGTTGGGAGTTCACTTTTTTAAAAACATTTATTTATTTATTTTTGCATTACAAAGTTGGGAGTTCACTTTTGATGGCTATAGCCCCCTAGTTGAGATGTATCTTTGTGAAGTTATGTTTTCAGTAGTTGTTGAAATAACAGGCAAGTACTGCATGGTATCAGTGTGAAGATGGTTTGGTCCAGTGTGATCTAAGGTTTGGGGAATGGTATAGTGCCACCATACTTTCCCTTGGAATTCTATCTCATCTTGAGTAATGAATGTCACAGTTATATCCAGCATAAGCTTTATATGGGTTCTGAGAATATAGTGAAAGAACTTTTTGAAGATAAAAATGCTATCCAAATACAAGTTCTTAACATTAGTTGGTTAAGAATATAATATATAAATACTTTTGAAATTAGTATCAGTATTCTTTTGAAATTAATCAAGACACATAAATGAAAGTTTACTTAATTCAGCTTACTATCTTAGTAAGCTCTATCATGTGGTTTTTGTAAGAAAATCTTAGAAGTGTGTGATTCACATTCATCTCTGTTTCCTCAGACTTCCCTTTCATGACATTACTAATGAGTAGCAACATATCCATTAGTAATGTTATGAATTACAATAATTATGCTTATCATTGCACATTTGCATGTAAAAATTTTTTCATATATTACAGTATATTATGGTTTGAATAACTCACTAGCCTTTTAATATTTGAGAATTAATATTTTATCCAATAGAATAATAATCTTAGTAAAATATTTTACTATTATAATAATTATGCTGTTGTAATCAGTTAAAAATTAGAATTTGAAGCTTAATATAAATAAAAAGTTAAAACCCAGGTCATTGATTATCAGAGAAAGTTTGTACTGAAAAGGATTTTAAAGATAATGTAATTCATCCTTCTTTTTCTACAGATGAGAAAACATAAAGCCCAGAAACATGAATTGAAATCTCATGATAAATTTGTGTATCCCAGAATGTCTTCTTGTTCTCATTTGTTTGTGAGAACCTATTTCCAAAAGAGTTAGAGAACAGCTGGTTATTGATCTCAGCACCTCTTACAGGACATTACTAAACAGCTTATTCTCAGAATCATCATCTAGTCAGACTTTGGAGACAGACCAACCTGTATATCACTTGCTGAATGATTAATAGCCCACCTTAAAACTAGCTAAAGCTCCCTTCCCTGACAAGCAAATCAAGGCACTGAGACAATGTGTTTGTTCTTATAGAAGAATTGCTGGGGATAGACTTTGAGGTGTGAAGACTTCTGCAGGCCTGGATGTAGAGGTTCGAGGTCTGGCATTATGACTTTTTCTCCGTCCCTTGGCTCAGCTTTCCTTTGGGTTAGCTTCATCTTCAAAAGAGTCCTTTCCAAGAACTTTAGGGGAAAATACAGAACTAGTAGTTCTGATTAGTGGTAAAAAAAAAGAGAGAGAGAGTAGAGAATAGAGTTATGTTAAAATATAATATTTTATCTGGAACTTTTCGAAACTTAGATCTTGTTTATGAATGTCAGGGGAAGCACCATGAGCTTTTGGGACCACACACAGTGCTGGATAGAGGCATCAGAATTCCCAGTGATTTTGGTGTAGAGTCTGCCATAATAAGTCAAGGACCTGGAAAAAGTCTAGAGGTAGCCAATAACTGAAAAGTTATGGCTAACTGTTAGCAAAATAAAGTTTCAGCAATAAAAAATCGCAGAACTTATCCAGGACTGGTAATTTATCATGATAATGTCCAACAAAGCAGGCAGCATCCACAAGGCTAAGGGAGGGCAGACTAACCTCTGGATGCTGCACACAGCACAGCAGAGAAATGCAGCTGATGTGGGAGCAGAGCGCACAAGCCTGAGAGGCCTGGGCTTAGGGATGCAAGGAGTGGCACCCACAGGTGAGAGCCCAGTAGGGTGGCATTGACTTCTGAAGTTGGTTATGAAGCACTGGAGTTGCTTGGAAGGTTTCTATTTTGCTGCTTTTTGATCATATTTATTTGTTTTTCTCTATACTTGGGAAGCTTTATCCCAGACTTCTATAAATTTCGCTTTTTTACTCTATTTCCATGTCAAGATTCTTCAGTGTGTATTACCAAAATGTGGTCATCACAGGGTGATAAGAAACCATTGGGGCTCACTTTTGAGATGGACATAAGTTAAAAGTCCATTGATCCTCTGATCTCTGTAAGCCCCTCTGAGTGGTATACTACAGTGGGTGGCATTGGGTGTCTCAAGACTTAGTATCAGCATGAAGCCAGCGTCCAGTGATTTCCCCATCCCACTGACTACCCAGGTAGATGGTTACAGGTCTCTTTGGGGAAGGTAGGAGGAAGATCTGCTTTGTACATTTTGGCTATCTATCAAGATCCTTCTTCAAGTAGACCTTTCTTGATTCAAGCTTTCCAGCCTATGCATTGACTCAGTACTGGGACTTCGTTGAGGTATTCTGACTTTCTCTTGTGCTCATCAAGTTAGATTTTCCTTCACTTAAGCCAGAACTTTTCTTGGATGACAAAGGAAAAAAACAAAAATAACTCAAAACCTTAGTTGGGTGACCTGTTGAGTTTCAGGGACATCATGATCAAGTAGCTAATACTAAAGATCTCTCCTGGTCAAAGCATTTGATTACAAGTTCGTTTCCATCTGGTGTGTCAATATCTCACCTTGTCTCTGGGCATGAAGTGCTACTACTGAGCCCCTGACTCAACAAGAACCCATCGTGGTATATTTGGGGAATATGCATGGATGGTAGCAGTTCCCACATTCATTCCTGGTTCCCACCATAGGGCTCTTTATGTGTACCGAGCTTTAGTGAGGGGCTTCTGTAGGATGTAACTAGACAATGGTAAGTTGAATGTTATTCTCATTTTGCTAAGTCTTTGAACTTAGGGCAGTTCTGGCATTTCAAGTTGATTTAGTATAGCCCGCTCGGGGAACAGATTTCAGCCAGCCTAGTGCTAACATACTGGACTCCACATCTCCACTGTGCATCTGTATAAAAATTGCTTTATTTACTTATTGATATTCTTCCTACTAGAATGTCAGCTCCTAGAGGACAGAACTTTGGTCTTGTCCACTCTGTGAGGTCTCTAGTGTCTAACAGAGTGGCTACTCTAATACATGGTCACTTGTCAGGTCATCGACTGATTAGTATTATTTATTGGTTCACTCCACAGATGTGTATTGAGCACGGTGCTAGTGATAGCAAGTAGGAGACCTTTGGGAGTGAGTAAGTAGGAGACCTTTGGGAGTGAGAGGCGTCTGAATACTCCAGGAACAGAGAGGTGGCCACGCCTGAGACTGAGGGCAGAGAGGAGAATGAGGAGTTAAGAAGGAAGCTTTGGAGGTAGACAGTGACCATGTTTTGTGGTGTAGGAGTCCATCATGAGAGGAATCCATCTGTTCTCTCCAGTGCAAAGGGAAGTCCTAGGAGTATTTTAAGCCAAAGGGTAACCGAATTTTATTTAATTTTTGAAGTTTATAATGTTTGTTACTTGGAGAATGGGGTTTAGTAAGGGAAGCTTAGCATCAAGGAGGTGAATGAGAAAACAGTATTTTTCATTATCTTAGAGAAGAAAGAGTGTAGCTTGCTTCAGGGTAAGGGTGGCTTTTCCCTGTAACCTGCTGTTGTCCTTGGAATTCTACTACAGTTTGGGGCTATGGCTTTGCTGTGGGCTGTTGCAGTGACCACAGTCACAGTGCAAACCTTCCACTCCTGTCCTGAGCCACAGAGATGGGAGCCAGGGGTGGGGCATTGAGTCTCCCAGTACAGTGCCTGTGGAGAGATGTCCTAGCATATTACTCTGTCTTGCTGAGCAAACTGTTGTATTATTTTACTAATCAAGTTGCGGATATTTATAAAAATTCAGAAATGAGGTTATAATTTGACATTGGATATTTTAATATAAGTAAATAATTTAGATGCAGTTTATAGGTGAGTCTAAATAAGTCTTAACAATTTGAAAATATTCATTTTATATTATAGATTATATTTAAATCATACTGTATAATTATAAAGTGTGACAAACAGCTAGTGTTTTAAGTTAATGTATGTGCATTACTTGCATATTTTATAAACTAAGGGATTTTTATTCTATTTTATTAAAATATTCCCTTTATTTTTGTTATGTTTTATTCAAAGTACCAAGATACCAATATGCAGGGAGTCGTGTATGAACTGAACAGCTATATTGAACAGCGGTTGGACACAGGAGGAGACAACCAGTTGCTCCTCTATGAATTGAGTAGCATAATCAAAATAGGTAAGAAATATTTTATATTCTCTGGGGAAATTTTGACCAAATTTGACCAAATATTCTTTTCTTACATAATCAAAACTGGCAGAAAATAACTAAAAGAGTGATGAAAGTCATTCATTTGCTTTTATACCGGACTAAGTAATAAAAATATTTTATTATGAAACATCAAGCCTAAAAAATTCCTAAATCATCTGATTTCAAATAAGTATCTACCTGATGCATGAATTAAATATACTATGATTTTAATTAATACCAAGTTTTCTTTGGAAAGTATTGTTTATTGAACTAAGTGACACATTTATAAAGGAAACCACTAATTTTTAAAGGAAACAAGCATTTTAAATTTATTTGGGTATATCCTAGATAATCAGTGGTTTACTTTGGGAATGAATGGGGAAGTTGTATCAGAAAAGTAAGATTTTAGAAGGGTGCACTTTTTTTAGGACATGACTTCTTAGGATACCCACTATGAAAATGGAATCTTTTGAGTTTTATTTGGAAGTGAGAATGCTGACGACATAATAATAGTAATGTTTACCACACTTAACCCTGTGTCAGACATCTCCCCATGCAGACTCCACGCACAAACTCTGGTTCTCAGGATCGCCTCATGAGGTCACTTCTGTTCTTATCCCCATTCTCCTGATGAAGAAGCCATGGGACAGAAGTTAGGTGTTTTTCCCAAAGACACAGAGATAAAAAGGAGTTAAATAGAGGGTTTAAATTTAGGCCATCCCTGAACTGATGGGTGTGGTGACACATGTCTGTAATCCCAGAGGTCCAGAGGGTGAGACACGATGGTGAGTTCAAATACAGCCTCAGCAAACGTGAAATGCTAAGCAACTCAGTGAGACCCTGTCTCTAAATAAAATACAAAATAGAGCTGGGATATGGTTCAGTGGTCGAGTGCCCCTGAGTAGTTCAATCCCCAGAACCAAAAAAAAAAAAAAGAATTAGGCAGTCCCTGAAGGACTTATGCTATTCCTTGCTGTGGTGATTGCTTCAGATGACATGAAGCGATTTTAGATCTATTATGTTCATGTCAGTGGATATGTAGATGTGTACACCCCTTTTGGTTGATGCTTATTTCAGTAATTCAGTATTATGACTATCACCATTAGTATTTATAATACTTTAAAAATTAAATACAATTTTTGAATATTTAAAGTTCAACATTTAAAGTTCAAAGTACATTATTGCACGACATGTTGCCTGCTGTATGCATTTGAAGATGTCACTTAGTGTTGCAGTCACTGATGAGGAGTATGTGGAGATAACCTGTTATTGAGTGAAGCCATATATGGCTTTGTCCCTTCAGTGCATGACACTGGTCATGTTAACAGATCCACTCAACAGGCTCACATCTGAGTCACACTATAGAGAATTCATACATGTTATATTCTTCCACTGAGATTAGTTTCTTCCTTTTTTATTACTTTGGCAGCCACAAAAGCTGATGGATTTGCACTGTATTTCCTTGGAGAGTGCAATAATGTAAGTATCTATATTAAATTTTGGTGCTCTAGATGATATCATAAGCTCTTTATTAAAAACTATTATATTACAAACAACAGACATGTCATAATTATTAAAACAATCATATTTTAATTCTTAATGTGGTTAATATCAGTCAAGAATGACATGATATTATTCATAAAATCTTAAAATTAATTAATGTACTTATGTATCAATTTTTGCCTTGTAGTATCCTATATCATGCATATCCTTGTAAAGAATTTGTGTTTTATACAAAAGCCATTTCAGCATTGAGGGCTGTGGTGCCATACAAGAGGGCCTATGCCCTTGGCATTCATGATCCACAGTGGAATAAAATGGGAGCAGAAGTTGAACATGGTCTGTGTGGTGTTTACGGGGTAAAAGACAGCTCTGTAAGAGCACAGGAAGAAGCTCCTGGTCTGGGTTTGAGTCGCTGTGGCTGTGCTTCAGGGCACTCAGCCCTTGAGGAGTGAGTCTCAGCTGTGGCTCTTCTGAATCTCTGCTCTTCTTTAGGTGGAAAACAGCCCACTGTCAAATGCAACTCACACAGGCACTCTCAAAAGCATCTCAAGATGTTTAGTCACTGGTATTTGATTTTTAAGTACCTTAAAATCAGGTACTTAACATTTTAGCATAATCTTAGTCAATAATGCTTTTGTTTTCAGTTTAAAATCCACTTATAAATTTATTGGACATTTACTGTGTATTTCTTATATGGTAGGCACTGCTATTTGAGACTTGGGATGAATTTTTTAAATGAATGTACCTGCATTCTCAAATAATCAAAATACCATTGACATGTAACATGTATATAGAAGTAGAGAAGATAGTGTACTAAGATCTCTAATAATAATTTTGAATAATATAATAATACAAAGAGTGAATATACTTTGTATACAACCAGAAATATGAAACATTGTGCTCTATATGTGTAATAAGAATTGTAATGCGTTCTGCTGTCATATATAAATTTAAAAATTTACATTAAAAATACAAAGAGTGAAAGTAATTGCATAAAATGTATGGGCTGATTGAATTAACTTGTAGTTCTTCATTCCACAACCATTGTTTCCCCTGGTATTATAATAGCTTCCTAAAGCTTTTTATCCTACAGGATTCAAAGATTCTGTAGGGCAAGGACCTCTGCCAGCCAATGTTATCATTCCTCTAGCACCTCTCTGGGAGCCTTTCATAGAAGCAGTGGACAAGAACATTTATTAAATTGTATTACTCAGATTTACTACCACTTCCAAGCACTTTAACCTGTATTTTAGACAGCAGTAATATTTTAAAGTGGCTAACCTACCAAAGCAACAAGTGGATATTACTCTTCCCCGTTAAAAATTTATTTCAAAAATTTGGTGAGGGCTTATTTATTTTTATAATTCAAATTAAATTTATTTTAACAGGTACATAAAGACATGAAACTAAAGCTATTAATGAGGTACCATGTGATGTTTCAATACATGTTTACATTATGAAATATTTAAATCAAGTTAAATATGTCTTCTCAAACCTTTATCACCCTTTTTTGGTGAAAGTATTCAAAATCTTTTCTTTTGGCTTTTGGAGTATGTGTTGTTCTCTGCAGTCACCCTGCTGTATCTTACCCTGTCCCACTTAGTTCCCCTGGTCAGCCTCTCCCTGTATCACTCTCATCCTCTGAGAACCACTGTTCTGCTCTCAACTTCTAGGAGGTCAGCTCTTGGAGAGTCCTTGGGAGACCATACAGACCTTGTCTTTCTGTGCCTGGCTTATTTAAGAATTCCTCTTAGAAAATTATACAATTTTCCATTATTTTTATGATTGACTCACTGACATCACGGGCCTTCATGTCTTACTACTCTTTCTGAGATGGCCTGCAGGGCTGCCTATGCTGTCTCCCTTGAATCAGCCCTTCTTCAGATCAGGGTGGACAGGTGAGACAAAACTCATCTGTTTTTTTTTCTTTGCTAAATCTGGACCTTGACCTCCGAGACCCTACTTGTTCACCTCATAGAACTGGTGAGAGCCATGAAAATGAGTCTGCTGGTGCAGGGCAGCTCCCTTCTGAGCCCATCCTTCTTTGATCAGGAGCTGGTCCGTCCTGTAGAACACCCCTCAGAGACGTCTGCTGGGAGGAAGTCTCTTCCTTCTATCTGTCTAAATGTATCTTTATTTCTTGCACTCTCTTGAGATATGCTTTTGGTAGAGTTCGGGTGGGTGAATTGTATCTTGGAAACTGACTCTCAAAGGGATTGTGTTTGTTGTGATTTGTTGCAGTTCTTCCATCATAGCTTTTATATTCCCTAGATATATTTTCAAGCTTTCCTCTGCTTCTTGGAATTTTAGTTTTTGAAGTATATTAATGGTATCTCTGTCATATTTCTTCCAAGTTAGTTTTTTGCCTTCATTTCTTTCTCCTTGTATGCATGGTATGTTATTTGCTCATGTGTTTCATGGTCTTTCTCTATCCCTCCCTCTCTCTCCTCAACTCTGCCCACCCCCTTTATTCCTTTATCTTTCTTTTCTTTCTTTCTCTCTCTCTCTCTCTCTCTCTTTCTTTCTTTCTTTCTTTTTTTCTTTTTTTTTTTTTTGTGTGCCAGGGATTGAATTCAGGGGCACTTAACCACTGAGCCACATCTCCAGCCTATTTTGTATTTTATTTAGAGACAGGTCTCATTGAGTTGCTTAGCACCTCGCTGTTGCTGAGGCTGGCTTTGAACTTGCAATCTTCCTGCCTCAGTTTCTGGAGCAGTGTGCCACCAAGCCCTGTAATTAATCAATCAATCTCAATCAATCTCAGTCACCCCGCCCCCAATCATGTTCTTCCTTGAGCTTTTTAAATGGATACTTGCTTTGAAGTTCCATTCTGCTTCATTCCAGTGTTAGATACATTTGTTTCTACTTTTTGTTTCTACTAGTCACTGAAGATAGCATCTAGAAACATTTTAAATGATCTGGTAGAGATTTTTTTCAGATTAAAAGTGGTATATATTTAAGTCTTGAATCAACATGATGCATAATTTTAAATTTCCCTGAGGAGATTTTTATTTTCCTTCTAGTACTGATATCAAGATCGTATTGTTTCCTTGCATTGCTTTGCAGTGGTAAGCGTGTTTATCCTTTGCTGAAGCTAAGGGGTGTCTCTTTCCTTCCCTGGTCTTGTGCTGGTGTCTCCCAGGAGACTTCCTGCATAGAAAGTTCCCAGTTTCTCTCTTGTCTCCTACCCACCAGGGAGACTCTGTGGGGAGGATCAATGTGTATCTGTGATCTGGTTCATACCCTCAAGAAACACCAGCCTCAAGGTTTGGCTACCTTATAGAGTTCTTTTATTTACTTGCTTTTAGAATTTTGTGGATTCCTTTCATATGCCTCAGATTAGGGATATTTTAAAGTATTTCTAAAATGCATTTTATCTAACCTCTAAGTAATTTTAAAATTTATTTTTTCAAGAGGGTCATTAATCCATATTGCTTGGAATAGAAGTTGATATACTTCTAAAGTGCAGGTTAACTATATTAAATAAATATATAGACTTTTTTTTTTGCATGAGTGAGCGATAAGTATACATTTTTTTACACTTTTTTTTTTACATGAAAGGCAACATTATAGATCATTATCAATCTTTTAAAAATGTCCTCTGGATTTTAAATTACTACTAGAAAATCTGTCTTAACCCACATTTCAAATAAAAAATTTTAGGTTTGTACCAAATTATAGTAAACCTAATATGTTGATATTATGATTTTAGTCTGTGTTAACAAATACCAGTAGTTAAGAACAAGATTCGAAGAATTGTAAAATTCTTGCACTTACAAGAGTTTTTATTTTTTTTCATAAATGAGTCAAATAATTTTTAAATTGATATAATAAAATATAATTTCAATAATATGTAAATAGTCAAAATTCCACCAATACAATGAAAAAGGCCACATCAGTTGTGGAACTCTTTATATAATTACAACAAAATCATAAGTCAGCTAGACCCAGCTGTTAAAAAAAACACCCAAACCTTTTAGGATTAAAAACAAAATAAGCTGGGTATGGTGGTGTATGCCTGTAATCCCAGCAGCATAGGAGGCTGAGGCAGGAGGACCTCAAGTTTAAAGCCAATCTCAGCAATTTAGTTAGACCCTAAGCAACTTAGCAAGACTCTGTCTCAGAATAAAAATAAAAAGGGCTGGGACTGTAGATCAGTGGGTCCCTGGATTCAATCCCTAGTATCCAAAGGAAACAAAACTATCTTCTACTACAGGAAAACACAGGTATAAGAAAAGCAGAGGCCAGTAACAATATTAAACTCGAGCATTAACTTAGAGAAGAAGATCTCTTCTATGTGCTAAAGGTTTATCATACAATGAAGGTAGAGCTGTAATGAAATTTGTGCCCTAGATATTTTATGGATTAAAATTTATGAAGCAGAACAATCCAAGAAAACAAACCAAGAAAAATGGATGAAAATACAATATTATTTTTAGTTTCTGACAGATGACAAATACGGTGAGAAGGAGGTTACTAATATCATCGCTTAGGTTTATTAAAATAGCATATATGGTAAATAGTATGGTATTATAGAATTTGCTAACTTGGTCTTTTCTGGACTTGTCCCCGAACTCTGATGCACTTATTCTATTTAAGAGTTCTTAGGATTTCTACATAGCTAAAAATAAAGGAAAAGCAATTTTGGAAATTAAACAATATACTAAGTAACTCCTTGTGCAAAGAAAAGTGACAAATATATTTAATTGAATATTTAGAGAGTAATATTTGATGAAATTAATTATGATATTTTGAAATCTCTGAATAAATTGTTCACAATGGAAAATATATGTATACTTAAGCTGTTAAGCATTTTATATGTATATTTGAAATATTAATAAATAAGAGAACAAAAATAAGTTGATTGATTATGTCAATACATTATAGGGGGCCTCCACACGGAAGGCACTATTCTAGGCACTAAAGAATCTCTATTCTCTTGGAGTTTATGCATTTAACCTTGGAGAGAAAAAAAT